TCTTATTTTGCTACCAACTCCCATGCTCAAAACTTTACAATGGCCTTAAATCACCAGAAGAGTAGAAAAAAAGGCTTTACCATGGCCTACAGGCTCCACATATTCCTGTGTAATTCTCAGACCCCATCTAGTGCCACACTACTCCTCAGTCACTAAGCTCCCCTTCTTCACTGATCTTTCAGTTCTTAAAAAGCACTAGCCCCTTCTACATCTCGAGATGTCTCCTTAACCTACCCTATCCAGAGTAGCCACCCCCATTCCCAAGTCACTATCACCCATCCAGCTATATTTTCTCTATAGCGCTACAGTATGTAAAATGATCTATTTAATTATTTAATTTACATCTATCTGTCTATCTGGTCTGTCCTCTCACACTTAAAATATAAACTCTATCAGAGCAGAAACCTTCACCCTCTTAATTTAACTGCCATATTCCTGGTACCTACAACAGCGTCTGGCACATGGAACGCATTTTTTAAAATCCTTGCTGAGTGAACCAATATCCCAGAAACCTCTCATAGCTAGTTCATCTTACAGGAGAAACAGTATTAGAGTTAATTAAATGGCCAGGCGCGGTGGCTCACGCCTGTAATCTCAGCACTTCGGGGGGCCGACGCGGACGGATCACTTGAAGTCAGGAGTTTGAGACCAGACTGGCCAACATGGTGAAACCCCGTCTCTACTGAAAATACAAAAATTAGCCGGGCACGGGGGCGGGCGCCTGTAATCCCAGCTACTCAGGAGGCTGAGGTGGGACAATCGCTTGAACCCAGGAAGTGGAGGTTGTAGTGAGCCAAGATCACACCACTGCACTCCAGCATGGGCGACAGAGTGAGACCCTGCTTCAGAAAAAGAAAAAAAAAAATTAAATTAAATGACTCGCCAGTCCAAATAAGCGGCAGCTTTAGGGTTAAAGGCGCAGTCTGGCTCCAAAGCTTGGGGTTTTAGTTACTATATTACATTGCTTCACTACATTTTACAATTTACTGTGCTGCTTGTGAGCACGAATTAAGGCTCAGAAGTCTAATTTTCCAGACTACTCGCAGGACTCCCGCCCCAGTACTCTCTACAGATTCAGCTCACCGACTCCTTCCTCCTTGGACCTAGCTCCGCCCAGCCCAGCCCCGCGACCTGCTCGACGTAGCTTCGGCAAGGGCACCTACGCGGTGAGCGGGTCCCATGCAAAGCATTCTGGGATTGGTAGTCCATGTTCCTCCGGTCTCCAGCATTCTCATGAAAAGGGGGGAAAAAACCCATGCAAATTAGATATCTCTGAATTTCGCGCACATTAAATAAGACGCAGATTCTAGCTCAGGAAAGTGATGTAAACACGTTGTTTTCAAAGGAGAGACTCCAGCCTCGGGTCAGGCGCGACGCAGACAGCGGCGCGGGGTCCTTGACTGGGCGGGGCTTGCTCGCGGTGGTTTGTGGCTCCTTCCTGCGCTGCTTCTCTCTTTCGCTCAGGCCGGTGGCGCCGACAGGATGGGTGAGCTGACCTGGCCAGTCTAAGGGCGCCGCAAGTGGGACTTGGGGTCTTAGGGACTGGCGGGCGGATGCGAATAGAGTAGGGAGGGGGATGCCACGGCGAGGCTTCTTGGCGGAGAGGCTCCATGGCGGAGGGCCGGGGAAGCGCCGCTCTGGGCCGCACATGGTCCGGCGTGGAAGGGGCGCGTGAGGCGTGGAGGCCGCCGAGGTCGGGGTACCGAGGGACACAGGGAGGCCGGCGCTTCCTCCCAAGCATTCGAGCGGGGCCTAGTCCTTTGGGAGAACACATTCTCCGGAGCTCTCTTCGAACGTTCGTTAGTCGGTTCAGGGGAACCTGAAGGCCAGATGTTTGGCTCACAGGCCAGTAAATAGTACGAGAGCCAATAGGCTTAAGGGTTTATTCCAGATGAGGCGAGTGTCTTAGAAGATGGGAAACATGTAGATGGCGTGTTTTTGCAGAAGAACTAAAATAGTTAATTTTCAGGCAAGTGTCGTGGACTTCGTACTGCTAGGAAGCTCCGCAGTCACCGACGAGACCAGAAGTGGCATGATAAACAGTACAAGAAAGCCCATTTGGGCACAGCCCTGAAGGCCAACCCTTTTGGAGGTGCTTCTCATGCAAAAGGAATCGTCTTGGAAAAAGTGTAAGTCCATTGCTTCCGTCAGTTTTAGTTGATTATAGGAATTCGAGACATAAACTTACGAATTCTTATCTTAAAAGTAGTTACAGGTTTTTGTGTAGTAGCGTTCATTTGGGCATTACGGGGTAAAATTGCAAAGCGTTTATTTTGTTTAAAAGTTGGTAAAATTAGTGTGTGGGAATTACGTAGTTAAGGTTTTTACTTAACGTTGGCCTGGGAGGAATTGGAGAAGATACTAACGATGAAGTAAAGGACACAAACACTTTTACTGTGGGAGCTGTTACAAGTAAATGTCACGTGTCAGCTATTGAATCTGCAATCAAATGATTTTTCGACTTGATAAAGGTAAGGTGAAAAGAAGTGACTTGAATCAGAATTAACTGAGGTCGTACACCTAAGATTGAGACATGAAACTGCCAGTACTTGACTGGTTTTGACTTTCAAAAATGATAATTTCACATAGTTCAATCGTATTTGATGGTAGATCCATTTGAACTCAGACTTTCTAATTTTTTTTTTTTTTTTTTTGAGACAGAGTCTAGCTCTGTCGTCCAGGCTGGAGTGCAGTAGCGCCATTTCGGCTCCCTGCAACCTTAGCCTCCCAGGTTTAAGCAATTCTCCTGCCTCAGCCTCCCAGGTAGCTGGGATTACAGGAGCCCACCACCATGCCAGCTAATATTTTGTATTTTTAGTAGAGATGGGGTTTCGCCATGTTGACCAGGCTGGTCTCAAACTCCTGACCTCAGGTGATCCGCCCGCCTCGGCCTCCCGAAGTGCCCTGATTACAAGCATGAGCCACTGTGCCCAGCCCAGACTTTCTAATTCTTATCTTAGTTTTTTTTTTGAGACAGGGTCTCTAGTTATACAGGCTGGCAGTCTTGACCTCCTAGGCATAGATCCTCTCACGTCAGCCTCCCAAGTAATTGGGGCTACAGGCCCATGCTGCCACTCCAGTCTAATGTTGTAACTGTAAAAGGTCTAGAAATTTCCCCCATTGTGCTAATGAAATTAAGACTGGCAGAAAACTTGGTTGACATCACAGGACTTCAGCTCAGCCATTTGAGGTTAGATTGAAAAGATAGAAACAGTTTCTCAGTAGTCTCTAGTGAATGTGAAAAAATTATCCTTTTTCAGAAAGCCAGCTCACTCTGCTATGCCTTTTATATTTCAGAGGAGTTGAAGCCAAACAGCCAAATTCTGCCATTAGGAAGTGTGTCAGGGTCCAGTTGATCAAGAATGGCAAGAAAATCACAGCCTTTGTACCCAACGACGGTTGCTTGAACTTTATTGAGGTGAGTATTTCAACTGTTTTGTACCTTCTGTTCTTGGGGTGGGCTCCCTCACATTTTTATCTGATGCAAGGGAGTTTCCTCACATGAAAGTATTTTTGTGATTGCCATTGACACTAGAAATAAACTTTTTATTTTATTCCAGGAAAACGATGAAGTTCTGGTTGCTGGATTTGGTCGCAAAGGTCATGCTGTTGGTGATATTCCTGGAGTCCGCTTTAAGGTTGTCAAAGTAGCCAATGTGTCTCTTCTGGCCCTATACAAAGGCAAGAAGGAAAGACCAAGATCATAAATTTTAATGGTGAAAACACTGTAGTAATAAATTTTCTTATGCCAAAAAATGTTTGTATCTTATTGTCCCCCGTTCTCACCACAAAGATTGTGTTCTTTACCATACGTCCCCCGCCTTTTTTTTTTAATCCTAAACCAGCGAACACAGGACCTGTACCAATTTTAGGAGATGATAAGACAGGGTTGTTTCAGGATTCTCTAGAGTTAATAACATTTGTAACTTGGCACAGTTCCCTCATCCTGTGGAATAAGAAAATGAGATAGAGCTGGAATAAATGTGCAGTATTGTTGTATTACTTGAACAACTTTAATGCAACTTCAAAAACTCACTTAAATTGTAGTGAGATGCTTTCTTTTTAATTCTTGGTATTTTCCATATCTGGTGTGACACTTCAAGCAGTTACCAAGTTTCATGGCACATAGATAATCTTAGGTACCCTTGGAAATGCACATTCTTGTATCCATCTTTCAGAGACCCAGGTGATAAATAGTAACCTCAAAATTGCTCCCCACTCTTGTTTAAAGGTGTCAGGATCTGTGTTGTAATGTGTCTATGTTACTGTGTTTAGGATACAGGCACTGGATCATTTAGATGATGGAAGTATATGTCAGGCAAGGGAGATCAGGTATATGACAAGACTGATGTTTTCAGTATCTTCTCATGAGGTTGTCAGCGACCTTCATGTCTTCAAAGACGAGTCAGCAAATGAAGTAGTTTAGAGATAAGACTGGTTGTGTTTTGATAATTTAAGCTAGGTATTCAGTACATGTGGATTTTGCTCTCCACAAATACTTTTTACAGAATTTTCATGGATACAGTGGCATGGTTGAAATGAAGCTATTAGCCTTCTGATTTAAATCTGATATAAGAAACTCCTGGTAACAAATAGTAAATATGGATTAATTAGCCCTTTGATCAGAGCCTAGCTTTACATTGTTTAGGATCTTTGGAAAACAATTGGTTTGGTTGCCCACTTTCTGTAGGATCAAGAGCAGAACCTTTGCCGTGACACAGAAGAATCCAGGTTGTGCTTCATCCCTGCATATTCCAGCCTTAGCCTGCCATTTCTCCCGTTGGCTCTGTGCTCCAGCAACACTGGTCTCAGCTGGTCATGCTCCAACTTGTGTTCCACATCCATCCTCAGGACCTCTGTTACTATGGTGCCTTGCTTGTCGCCCGCTCTTCAGAGCTCCTATTTTCCAGCACACTTGGGTTTATCTCTTTATGCCAATGATGATGCTGCTAGTCTCTCTCCACAAGGGCGGAAAGGCTGCTTGTTGGTTTGTACCAGCGTTTCCCAACGTGTAGCTGCAGTCAGTATTTGACTAAACCGTTCCCAAGGGCTCAGCAGATGCTTTCGGATGGGCCTTAATTGACCCAACCCTTTGTCATGCGAGAGAGATTGCTGGGCCTCGTTCACCGGGCCAGAACCAGGGAAAGAGGCCGCGGTAGCAGCGCGGTTCCAGGCCCCGGACGTCAGGCGCGGGGCGGGCAGCTCTCGCCCGGCGGTGGGGTCCTTGTGATCGCAGGGCGGGGCGCACCAGGAAGGGGCTGGGACAGCGCGGACGCCCAGGGTCTTGTCCCGGTTCCCCTGCTTTCTTTGACACGTCAAGACACCTTCGAGGATGGCTCGCAGCTGTACCCTGCACCCGGGACGCCCTTTTCACTTGCTAAGCAGTTCTACCTGAGGCCCAGGGGCCGCCAGATTGACCCATAAATAATCTCCGGCGCCTGAGATCCAGAAGCGGCTGAGCCTGATCTTAGTGCCTTCTCCTTTCTGTGTGGCCTCCCAACCTCTTTCACCACGGCCATGTGTCCGAGGCCCCTTCCTTCATGTATCCATCATGAAATGGATGCCTGGTACTTTGCTGGGCCTGACTGTGCAAGCCCAGGTCTATGGTGAGAGCAACAATACACTCACCTTGGGCACAAAATGTATGCAAAATTCCAGCAGCTTTTTTTTTCTTGGTAGATGTAGAAAAGCTAATTCTAAAACTTCCATGGAGGCTGGGAAGGGTGGCTCACGCCTGTAATCCCAGCACTTTGGGAGGCCGAGGTGGGTAGATCACCTGAAGTCAGGGGTTCGAGACTGGCCTGGCCAACATGAAGAAACCCCGTCTCTACTAAAAACACAAAAATTAGCCGGGCGTGGTGGCGGGCGCCTGTAGTCCCAGCTACTCGGGAGGCTGAGGTTGCAGGGAGCCAAGATCGAGCCACTGCACTCCAGCCTGGGCGACAGAGCGAGACTCCATCTCAAAAAAATAAAAATTAAAAAAAAATGTATATGGAAAGACAACTAGAATAAATAAAACAATTTTGAAAAAGGAATAAAAGTGGAGGAATCATAAAACTTGATTTTATAGTTAAAGTAATCAAGACTTGGAGGAGGGACAGAAATACAGATCAACGAAATAAGATAGAGAATCCATAAATAGACATTCAGAAGTATGGCCAACGGATTTATCTTAAAACCAACAGAGGAAGAAGAGTTTCAATAAATGATGTGGACTTCCATTTGTCAAAAACCAAAACAAACAAAGGAACCCCAACCTCACATGTAATACAAAATTAACTCAAAATGGATCATATATCTAAATGTAAGGAAAGCTATAAAACAAAACATAGACCATCTTTACAACCTAGGTTTATGTGTAGTTTTTAGACATTACACCAAAAGCACATGCCATAAAAGAAAAAAATAGATAAATTGGTGGATTTCATCAAAATTAAACTTTTTCTCTCTGAAAAATCCTGTTAAGCTGGGCGCTGTGGTTCATGCCTGTAATCCCAGCACTTCGGGAGGCTGAGTTGGGAAGATATTAATAGTTTGAGGCCAGGAGTTCAAGATCATCCTGGGCAGCAAAGCCATACACTATCTCTACAAAAAAATTTTTTTTTTAATTAGCCTGGCATGGTGGTGTGCACCTGTAGTCCCAGGTACTTGAGAGGATCAGAGGATTGCTTGAGCACAAGAGTTTGAGGCTGCAGTGAGCTATGATTGCACCATTGCAATCCAGCCTGAGCAACAGAGTGAGATCCTGTCTTAAAAAATACAAAATAAAAATTCCTGTTAATAGGATGACAAGACAAACCACAGACTGGGAGAAAATATTCGCAAAACACTTATCCAATAAAGGACTTACATCTAAAACAGAATTCTCTAAACCAAAAGTGAGAAAACACAATCCCATTACAAAATGGGCAAATATACATCTCTTCACAAAAGAGATGGCAAATAAGCACATGAAAAGATCAAATCATTAGCCATCAGGAAAATGCAAATTAAAACCACAACAAGTTATCACTATAACCTAGCTAAAGCTAAAGATGCTGATAATATCAAGTACTGGTGAGAAAGGAGGGTAACTGCATCTCTCATGCATTGTTGGTGGAAAAGTGGTACAGTCACTCTGAAAAAGTGGTACTTAACAATATGACCCAGAAATTGTACTCCTGGGTACAGGATTGAAATACAGCAATGAAAATATATGTCCACACAAAAACCTGTACATAAATATTCATGGCAACTTTATTTGGACAGTCAAGAAATAGAAAAATCCTAAATATCCTTCAATGGGCCAATATATATACTGTGGTATATCCATAAACGATATACTACTCAGCCAGATTGTTACATAAAACAACTTCTATGAATTTCTAGGGTAGTATGCTGGGTACCAGAAGCCTATCTCAAAAGGTTGTATCTGGTATGGATTCGTTTATATAACACTCTTGAAATGACAAAATTATAGCAATGAGAAGAGATCAGTGATCACTAGGGATTAAGAATGGGTGCAGAGTCTGATGATAGAGAAAGGATAGTATGAGTGAGTTTCTTTGTGGGAATGAAACACTTCTGTGTCTTGATCTTGGTGATGTTTATGGAAATCAATACTTGCAGTGGAATTTCGTAGTACTATATACACAATAAAAGCATGCAAAAATTGGTGAATGAGTAAATTCTGTAGTTAATAGTTCTGGACTAATATCAATTCCCTGGTTTTGAAAATATACTCTGGTTATGAGAGATAGCATTTGGGGAAGCTGGATAAAGGGTATACACAAACTATTCTATTTTTGCAACTTCTTGTGTGTCTTATTTATAAATAAAAAGTAATGTATTAACATATATGTGTGTATATATATAAAATTTATGAATGGGTAGTTAATTTAGTCTGTTATTTAATCTGTATTCTCTTTATTTGCCTAGCAAAGCCCAAACCAATCAGAAATTGTTATAGCAAAAAGAATCAGGAGATCACTTAGTTCTGTGGTCCCCAAACCCAGGGACATCAGAATTCCCCTGGGAAACCATCTTGAGGGTATCCAGGAGAAATCGGTCAGGTAGTTCTTATGTAGCCACCTCCTGTTTTCTCCATTTGTGGGAATAACTGCTCTTATCTTAGCAGTTGGAAGCTCAAATAAGGCAGCTCTTAAGTATTTTAGAAATAATTTGCCCAAGTAATTGGCACAGCTCAAATCAGAACAATAGTCTATTCTCCAAATGGAATTGTTTCTGTCAGAAACACCCCATCTCAAAATGACAAACACTGCCTTACAGGTAGCTACTTAGTAAAATTAGGCACAAATTTATCTGGGAATTTAGTAAGAGTTTTTGTTCTCTGTTTTGTGAAGGGAAGAGGAATAAATTTTCTGTGTATTTGTATGAAAATATTGAAACACTCCATTTTTTTTACTGATGTTCTGAAAAAGTTTCAAAAGTCTAAACACACAATGCCTCAGATAAATGTGGGCTTTTTTCTGTTATTTTTTGGTGGCACTGAGAGAGACACTTCTAATTTGACAGCTATAAAAATTCAAATGTGTATCTGTGTGTGTATTGAATTCCTGTATTCCATTCCAGGAAAATGTCTAGTTGTAGGATTGGTCATTATGGTCACACTGTGGATAATATTCCTGGAATCTGTTGGAAGGTTGTCAAAGTAGCTAGCGTTTTTCTTTATTGGCTTTGCATAAAGCCAAGAAAAGAGATTATGATAATAAATTACCATAGTGCAATAAAATTTTCACTAACAGTAACTTATGTAATCTTTATTTTAACCTATAAAATTTATGTCAGTGGATTATTTAAGCATTAACTCACATTCTCATGCTACTGTAGTTGGGGGACTGTCTTTGCTGGTTATACTGAGCAGTCTTCGTTTCTAACACAAATCCTGTCCTTATTGTTTGGTAAAGTGATGTTATGTTAGTACCTGAGGAACAGAAGTGGATTTTATAGGTTATTAATTGTCACAGTAATGTCACCACAGAAGGTCTAGAGCAAACCATTAAAACATTTAACAATTAAATGTTTTAAAGCATAAATTGTCTCATAGGAGAAAATAGTTTTTTAGAGTGACACATTTGAAGGGAACCATGAGTGACAAATAACCAATATTTTCAAATATGCACATGCCCAGTCGCCACCTCATTCAGATGGTCACTTAAGCCTCTAATATATGATGCATATCTTCAAAAACAAGGGAGCCACTCACACACAGCTCTCAGATGTGTGTAATGAGCACCATCAAAATTCCTTCCTTTAATACACTCTGCTTTCCAGCTGACCTGAAGCTTGCAAACAGCAATTCTGATGGTAAGGAAGGTAAGGAGGAAATCAAAGTCCCCAGGTCACTAGTCAGATCTAGCCACAGAAGTACCAGCCCCTTTTATCAGTGATCTGCTTATTTGTTGGCATGAATTCTGTTCTATAATCTAGTCACAGTGTGGGATAAATTTTTAAATCTAGCCTTCTAAAACTCTTTTTTTTTTTTTTTTAAGACGGAGTCTCACTCTGTCATCCAGGCTGCAGTGCAGTGGCGGGATCTCGGCTCACTGCAAGCTCCACCTCCTGGGTTCACACCATTCTCCTGCCAGCCTCCCCAGTAGCTGGGACTACATGCGCCCACCACCACGACTGACTAACTTTTTGTATTTTTAGTAGAGATGGGATTTCACTGTGCTAGCCAGGCTGGTCTTGATCTCCTGACTTCATTATCCACCTGCCTCAGCCTCCCAAAGTGCTGGGATTATAGGCGTGAGCCACCACGCCCAGCCTAAAACTCTTTTGTTATCATTTATTAGAAATAGAAGGCTGGGCAGTGGCCCACGCCTGTAATCCCAGCACTTTGGGAGGCTGATGCAGCGGATCACCTGAGGTCAGGAATTTGAGACCAGCCTGGCCAACATGGCAAAACCCCATCTCTACTAAAAATACAAAAAATTAGCTGGGCGTGGTGGTACACACCTGTAATCCCAGCTACCCGGGAGGCTCAAGTGGGAGAATCACTTGAACCCAGGAGGCAGAGGTTGCGGTGAGCCGAGATCACACCACTGCACTCCAGCCTGGGTAACAGCGCGAGACTCCCTCTCTAAAATAAAAAAAAAGAAAGAAAAAGAAAAAGAAAAAAAGAAATAGAACAAGGGGCTACATTGCTTGACTGTGCTAAAAGTGTAGGACATACAGAGCAAACCCAAATTTCAAAGTGTGTATGTTAATGGATGTATTATAATGCTTACTTACCTCTTTCAGCAACCAGCTAATGTTTACATTT